AGCTGTACAGATTATTCAACTGAACTCAAGTATGTGTGTGCAAGTTAAAAACAAATATCGAAGTTACCGAAATTACTTACGACTCATTAACAAAGCAAGTACGAAAATTCAGAAACCTAGGGATGACTACAAGGGGATATTGTTTGATAATCAGCTTTCTTTATTAGTTAACATCGTTGCATTTTTGCCAAAGTAATGTAAGTGACATTTTTGGTGAAAATCATGTTTTTCCATTAACGTAAGGCTTTTATTGTTGAGAAGGTACTGCCAAAGTGTAGGAAGCCTAGATTTTACTTTAAACCTTTATTTTTAACTTTTTTGAAAACGTATGTCCAGAATTTTTTAAATCATACCCGTAAAAGAAACGTAACTTCAACACTATTTCCATCATAGTAATGCAAGCTAACGTTTTTTACCGCCATAATAACGTAAGACCCGGTCGGTTTCTGCGACTTACGTTAGATTTTCGCAGTCAGTGTTTGGCTTACGACAGTGTTAGGTTCGTGCTACCATCGAATAATTATTGATTTTAGGTAAGTAAATAATAACGACATATAAAATTCCATTTCATATTTAGTTTCGTTCATTTATGTGTGTGATAACCGCAAAATCTGTGAGAAATTTGCAGGAATGAATCGGTTGAAGTTAGAAAAACGTTTTTTTGTAGCTAGAATTTAAAAATATTAAAACCTTAACTAATATTATGTACCTAACTATAAAACTCCCATTTCGTAATTTCGTTTATTTATTAGAAGTTATTCTGTCGTAACCTCGAAGCCTGTGAGAAATTTACAGGAATGAATCGGTTGAAGTTAGAGAAAGACTGTTGTATTTGTTTCTATTCTAATTTTTATAGAAGCTATGAAACATTGTAAACATAAATGCCCGGTTACTTTCAGATTATGTCTATAGTCAGTTCACGAACCAGAAGGATTTTGGCGGCTCTTAGCCAAAATGATGAATCGAATAATGTTTATTCTGAGGAAGAAATCGGGCCTATGCCGATATCCATTATTTCAAGTGACAATATTTTTGATCTAGATAATTCCGAAAATATTTTAAAAACTACTTTAGTAAACGAAGACGTAATCGAAATAGACGAATCAATTTTATTGTCTTCTAATAATTCGAGTCCTTATGAAAATCATGGTAAAGACTATGCAAGAAGAAATACATGTACCAATAAGTACTGATAGCTAAAATGGGACAGTGGGTGTTCAATTTGAACAGGAATGCGATGTCCAAGAATATTTTCAGCCGTTAGTTGATTATGTTAACAATAACGATTTAGAGCTGAACCCTGAAACAAAAACCTGTAAGAAAAGATAAAGAATTTCAAGGAAACAGTACGTCGAAAGAGGCATACGACAAACATTTAAAAGAAAAGGAAGAACGTAAAGAACTCTTTTCAGAAGATCAAAGGAAAGTCAAAGAAGTCTCAGATACAGTTTGTTCCAGTTTTGATTTACAGAAAGTCTTGAATATTCCCCATGGGCATAACATGTTATCATACTACTCTAGAAAATATTCATTTTATAACGAAAGCATATACGAAACGCCATCGCAAAATGGATACTGCTTTCTGTGGGGTGAATCCGATGGTAATCGTGGGTGTAACGAAATATGCACCATCATTTACACTTACCTAAAATTGTTGGAAGATAGAGATATTAGACATGTTATTTTGTACTGCGATAGCTGCGCTGGACAAAATAAGAGTAGAGCAATGTTGGTCATGATTCACTCATTTTTGCAAAAATCTAGAAATATTGAAACCATCAAAATTGTATTTCTTTTACCGGGGCATACCTACATGCCTATTGATTCGATACACGCAGTAATCGAAAGGTTTATAAAAAATAGAGTTATATGGGCCTCTTCAGAGTGGAGCACTACTATAGGAAGTTAACCCGAGGCCATATACAGTAATAAAGCTTGAGCACTCTGAGTACAAAAATTGGAAGAAGCTAAGGGATGATCAGCTGGTCCTTACAAAAACCGGACTAAAAATAAATAGTGTAAGACAAGCTTTTTTCCAAAAAGGATCATCGGAAGTCACGGTCAAATATAACTATGGCAGCAGTCCTGAGTACAATTTGTGCTTTAAGTTAAACTACGATAAGGGTGGTAAGTTGGTCCATTTTACACATTACAGAGAACCTTTTACACTGAGTAAGCTTTTGCTTTTATACAGGGTGTCACCAAATTAGTATTCAAAACTTCAACCACAAACAGAACATATGTATATAAAAAATTTCTCATAAACATGGGTCCGGAAATGTTTAATTTCCGAGATACATTATGTTGAAATGACCTCAAATAATCAATTTTCGATTTTTTCTCCATCAATATTTTTAATGCCATTAGCAATCAACAATCACCATATCCTACTATTTTTTTAGACAAAAACTTGTAGTTAAGACAAATCATATTTTTCATTCAATATTACTTAGTACTAATATGGTTTTTATTTTTTTTAAACAAAGATACGGTTGATTTTTCAAAAAGTTTGAAACAGTACTTTTTTTTCTAAATAATATGAGCAATAATAATGAATTATTAAAATTATAAAAAATGCATTGGCGAAAGAATTAGGCTATTTTACTGTTCAACGTATTAAGTAACTATGCCACTGGTTAGATAATTAAGATTTTTTTCTTCTCATAATGGGTACCACCGAAATAAGAGAAACGACAAAGTTTAAAAATTTTCGAAAACATTTTGTCTGAATTATAAGAAAAAAACTGATTTTTAAACGTATTTTCAACACAATGTATCTCGGAAATGAAACATTTCCGGACCCATGTTTATCGCAAATTTTTCATCTACATATTTTTTAATGTTCTGTTTGTAGTTGTTTTTTTTGGATACTAATTTAGTGACACCCTGTATAGGGAATTCCCGAGTTATTAAGACTTTATTAAATACAGAAAACTGTTAATAAACTACAAATATAAAAAATGAATACATATTTGCAAGTTATCCTGAAGTATTTCTTTGTTTAAGGTCGAAGGCGGCAAGAAAAGGCAGTTCCTGAACCTGAAAAAATTTATAAACAATTGCTTCCAATATCCGAAATAAAGAAAAGGGATTTGGAAAAACTTTGCAAAAACAATGTCATAACTGCCAGGTTTCACGATGAATTCTTTAAATTAAAATGTAGGTCTTCTCTTCCAGATGAGTTAGCAGAAACTGATGCAGAGGATGACAATGAAGATGAAAGCCCCAAAACTTAAAAAAATATATATTTTTTACTAGTAAGAATTTCATATTTTCTTTTGTAACGTTATTTTGTGTTTTTTTTAATAATAAACGATAGTTTTTAATTCTTTCCAAAATACTTGCTACAATTTGCCGTCAAACTGACGTATCTGTGTACTTACGTTACATTTTTGATCAAGACTTCGAGATTTCTGAGCCCGTAAATTAACGTAAGTATCAATTAACCACTAAAACTATAGAAAAACTTCAAATTTTTTTTTCTTAATTAAATATAGACCTCAGGGAAACACCATGGTAAATTTTGCACAATTTAAAAAAGTTTAACCATTTTAAATTAAAAACACGCTTTTTTTTCGAAATCGTTTTTGGTGACTTACGTTACCTTGGCAAATACGTATCGACATTATCTGACAGTATTTCTCCAAACCTCAAGAAAGGAGGAATTTTTACTGTAAAAGGAAGTTATCTGTCGGATGTGTGTACCAAAATCCATCAAATTAGTTGCCAGTTTAATATTTGTAAAGCTCAAGTTATTTCTTACCGGTATGTAGCCCCTACTTCGGCATCGATAGCACATATCTTGCTAGTGTAGTTGAAGTTATTGAATGAATACAGACTCTTTTCTCCGAAAATTCAATTGCAAATCATGAAGCGTCCACCATTTCCACCAAGCCAATAGTCACACAAACTGATACGATTCAAATAATGTGGCTAATTCACATGATATTTTACACCCGATGCAGATTTGAGGAAAAAGGTAATTTTTAAGTTTTATGATCTCTATCCACAACATGAAAAGGATATGCCACTCTTTTCCGTAATCTCGGAAAGTGCAGCACTAATTTTGAAGTAAGGCATGCTCTGAGATCATACTGCTGCCAGAAAAGTCAAGACAGTTGAAGCAGAGTAATATGCAAGAAACAGAGGAATTACAGAGTGTCCTCAAACTTTGGTTTTTCAGCAGTCAGAAACAAGTTTAAATCATTTTGAAATTTGCGAAGTTTCTTTTTTCGAAAGGTCGGCGGCAATGTAGGTTTAACTTTCACAAGTTATGAGAGAACCTTCTAGATTTTCAACCAAAATGAAATACACATTTTTATCATACCATAAAAACCAATCATTATAAATCACGCATATTGGGTCAATCATCTCACGAGTGGGTACGGGATTAATTCTAGCTTGGGATAGTACCCATCAAGAAATGCTTATGTTCGCATACCGAAAGATTTTTTTTTACAATATAAGCAGCGGCGCAGGAAAGTAGCCTAAATTCAAATGCACCGCGGCTGCTATAAGGATCCCAAAGTAACTTTGTTAGTTTTTCCTGATTTTTCATTTTCCTAAGATTAGTAGAACAGAGAAAAGCCCCCTCTTGCAGACTGATCCACAATCTCGACACCATCGCACAGTGTGGCAGAATCCCAAAAAGCGTCGTAAATGATCTCAAATTCTCTTCTCGGAGATTTTTGGGGTCGCTGGATATTAATCTGTTATCAGAATTACGATTTTCAAAATGGCGGACCCAAAATGGTGGACATAATTCAACCAATTAGTCAAATAATCCAGTAAAAATACCCAATTGTATTTGTTTATGGTTTTTGGAATCACTGATTATGAATTGGTTATCAAAATGTTAACTTTCAAAATAGCAGACGCGATATATGGAGGATTCCGCAAAAATTTTTATTTTTTAATATTTTTAAATAGAAAATATTTAATAATATTTTTAGGTTTTAATGAGTAAAAAATCCTTCGAGCAATGTTTTTTATTTATGAAAAATTTCTTTTATAAAAAATTTGCAACAAAATGAATATCTGTTATTTACTTCTAGTAACAAAAATCTTCGATTCGGATTCTGATGTTGACCCACTTGTATCTAAATTGTAATCGTTCCTTGTCTCTTATCTGGTGACTTCAGGTTGTTTTAACAATTGTAGAGCTTCTTTTATGTAAAGATTTCGCCGGTATCTGGGGCAATTTCCTGAAGCTTGAGAGAAATGGATCGGATGTTACTAAGAGCCTATCGAAGCCTATATTCGTTGAGCACTCCTGAGCAACCAGATTTTTACTATATTATATTTCATGCTATACACTATCACTTCCTTGTAGAAACAAGATCGAGACTCGCGAAGACATTTTTAAAACTACTTTGGAAAATCGATTTTAGAAAAAAAATTACAATTTTTTATGTTTGTTTGTTGTAAAATTTAAATATTTAAAACATAAAATAAGCAAAAGCTGTGTATAACTATATATTCTGCCTACCTTCGAAAGTGATTCCATTTTGCACAATTCAAATTGAGATAGTTTCGTCTGTTTTACAGGACTTCGAAACAGGCCAGAATTTTTCGACATGTACACATGCTTAGTGCGTACCGAACGATAGCTGAATGTTGACTGATGTCAAGGCGACCCTAGGCAAGTGTATACCTGCCCTGTTCGGAATTTCATTCTAGGACTATCCGTAAACAAGATCTAAACGTGTGTAGACGAATGAATACAACTAAAAAATTTGATTTTTGGCCAGCTTTTTAGGATTCTGCCCTACTGTGCATCGGGACATAGAAGCGGTCGTATCGGCTAGTTCTGGATGTACGAAGTTAGACACGGTTGGGATGAGAGGTCAAAGTCAGACGCATCGCGCGACGACATCACGGAGGCGGGCTCTGAGCAAAGTGGAGAAAAGTACTTATCAGCCATAAACTAATAACCTACCTGTTTCCCAGCAGGTGATGCCGCTCTTGACGAGATATATTCGGATGAGCGCTAGGACACTTTCTGTTCGTCAACGTATAGTACTGTGTTTAGGAAACATTGAACTCTGCAAGGTTGCTGCATCCTCAGGTAGTGATAACCTCCAAGTCTCTCGTCAGAGAGAAAGTCACAACTAGCCTGCTTTTTTCCAGCTCACCGGTGGAGATTGGCACCTAGAGTGCTGTCATCAGCAAAGCTGCGGATTGGATTCATCGTACAGGAATGGAGGTTGCTGATAACCAAGAGGAAACAGTATTGGAGCCAAGACCGATCCCTGAGAAATATCTGCTTTGACGTTGTGGCATGAAGAGGAGAACCCGTCAATTACGACAGATATCTTGCAGCCAAACAGAACGTAGCTTACCTTCTGCAAAGCTTCTCTGGGAAGCTATAGGTCGGAACTGTGAATAAGAGGGTAGCATGCCACAGCAAACCGAATGCTTTCGTGATATCAAGAGCAACCACATGAGCCTCACCGTAAGAGTACATGAGTTTACTTAATTGCGTAACGTGGATCGCTGGTAAAGAAAACCACACTGCCTGTCTCTAATCAAGCCGTGCACCTCTCCATCTTCTTACTTGTAACAGAAAGCAGAGTTATAAGGATCGGTATTAGGTCTCCTTTTTGGAATGGGCTGGGCATGAGAAAATTTCCAGTTTTCTGGAAGGTGCCGAATTCGTGAGGTATATAGAAGAGACGCGAAAGAACTGGTGCAAGTTCCACTGCACATCCTTTCAATCCAATGGCAGGAATCAAGTCCGGACCAGAAGATTTGTTGATGTCGAGCGATAAGGGTACCCGCCTTATGGTCTTATGCTGGGATGTTACTTCCCAGGCGGAGGGACGTCCATGGTGGAGTTAGCAACAAAGATCTTGGCAAGCACTTAACCTTTGAGTCTGTTACAATCGGTCCATTCTGGCACGTAAGCAGTGGAAGGCTACTTTGGGAGAAACTCCTTTCAATGTGCCATGCCTTATTTTTATATCGTGCGGGTCTTTGGCATTGCGGACCGCTTCGTTATATATGTTTCTGGATTATTGTATGTGTATAACCTGCCAGATTTAAATATATTAACATAAGGTGAGAATTTCGTTGTGTGCGAGTTTCTGAACTATTACACTTTCACATTCACTAAGGTTTGTTATGAATACACTTGAAAAATCCAAGGTAAACGCTCTATGTTCCATTATCCTCGTAAGTTCTCTCAGCTTTATTCATCGAATTAAAATAATCACACAAATGACGCTTCTTATTTGAGTGACCCATTTCTACCACAGTAGTTCCTTACGTCGTAAATCACACAATACATCATGTTAAGTATGGGTTGGATGACTTCAGCCGCTGTCAGGGACATTATTCACAGCTACGACCTCGTTTAAGGGAAATAAGGCTGTCAGCTCATCATAACGGATGATATGAAGGATATATCAGTCGGTAAACGCCTTTATTGCTCTATCTTTCACTCGGATATTGAGAATAAAAATGCAGAAGCGAAAGGAGCCATAAGATACAGATTTATGGAGTACCGCTTTAAATCTGCCAGATACTCGTATGTCAATGTGAAAATGCAGTATTACTATTTTTATTGTAACGTGGATTCCAGTTGCAGAAGTACAGCGATAAAAGGCTATTAATCAATGTATATTGCATACAGTTTTGATCTTTACTAAGGTGCTTGAGCATATTATGGGATCAACTTGAATTATTACCCTTAGACGTTGGTAAAAAAACAGCTTGATGTCAAGTAGCTTATATAAAGGTCCGCGAGAACAACTTTCAGAATATCCTTCCACGTATCAATATTTTATTTCACAATAGGTACCTGTTGAAACTTTTTAAGACGTAGGATTTCTAGTCAAATTTTGGTCCTTTTATTTTCGAAAAATGGCATTCGCTATGAAGACTCGTTTCCTACAGTCTACGTACAGTAAAATTTACCTCATGGTCAGAAAATATGGTGGAAATGGAACTATGTTGCTGTGGAAAAGTTGAGTGTTAAGGGATGACACAACCCACCCCCCACCCCCTACTGAGCGAGGGCCGTGGCAAATGCTTGTTCCGGAAGTCGTTGTATCCAGTATACAACTTCTTCCCGTCCAAGTGATTGCGCACGCGTTAAGGAATACCTCAGTACCGATTGCCGGGTGGCGGTACAAGTCCGCCAACGGGCCACTTTAGGTCTATTTAACATCACTAATACGTAAAAAGAAGGTGGTAGACAAGGACCAGTCGACCGAGGCAGTACCACCCGCTAGCTTTTCCCAGGGTGTCTTATAAATGTCCGCATGTTTCCACACCTAAGCTATGCAGTCGGTTGTCTACCAAAACAAAGAAATTAATGATGATGGATCCCTCGATCACTAAAAACTCCGGACGTAAACTCACTCCACTCTCGGAATGTTCGGGTGGAGGGTGGGCTCGAGGGAACAACATCGAAGATAAAATTTGTTTTTCGAACATCTGCGGGATCAACAGCAACACTGATGCTGTTCATCACTACCTGCAATCCAATCGTCCCGCCGTGCTTTTCTTGGCGGAGACAAAAATCTCAGAGGCTGCACCGATTAACCATCTCAACTTCCCAAACTACGAGGTGCACTCCAATCTGAGAAAGAACGGGGGAGTTGTGGCTTTTGTCCGCAGCAGTCTTTCCTGCTCCAGGGATCTTTCTTTGGAATCAGACCGGAAGGACATTCTGTGGATTCGCCTCAACTCCAAAACATCACCCAAATTTATTTGCTGCCTTTATCGCTCTCCCTCGAACCATAACTGTGATGACTTACTCGAATACCTCGCCGTCCAGATCGACTTCCTGAACATCAATCACCCCGCTTCAGAGGTAGTTCTTCTCGGTGATTTCAATGCCCATAATGAGCTTTGGTTGGGCTCAAATAAGACCGATGCAGCAGGTCGTGCAGTCGAAGCGTTCGCTCTTACTCAATGGCTGACCCAGCTGGTGACGAGCCCTACTTTTTTCCCCCGCGTCTCGTCACACGCCAGTAGCCTGCTGGATCTCTTTCTGACCACGCATCCTGCCCCCTTACAGCACTGCCGTCCTGTCCCCCCTGGGTAACTCAGATCACGGTGTTGTGGAGGTTAGGTTTCGGTCAGAAGCCGCTGTGGCCGCAGAAACTCGCACAGGCCGCAAAACTTGGCATTACGGACATGCCGACTGGGAGGGGCTCAGAGACTTCTTCTCTAGCTTTCCTTGGAGAGATGTCTGTTTCACTGACGCGGATGCGTCGACTGTCTGTTCTTCAATAACCGAAATTATCCACGTCGGAATGGTGGAATACATCCCTCACACAGTGAAAGTTCCTAAACCAGGATCCAACGGCTGGTTCAACACATCGTGTGACACTGCTCGCCAGCAGAAGATCAAGGCCCCCAGAACCTACTTACAAAACCCCACTGTAGAGAACAGACAAGCCGACGTCGAGTCCAGAAACAAATATAACGAAGCGGTTCGCAATGCCAAAACCCAGCATGATATAAAAGTTAAGCACAGGGTAATGTCGCAGCGCAATGGCAGTCGGTCTTTCTGGACGCTGGCCAAGCAGATTGAAAAGAACTTCTCACACAGTAGCCTTCCACCACTTACGTGTCAGGATGGAACTATTGTATTCGACTCAAAGGCCAAGGCGGAAGTGCTTGCCAAGATCTTTGCTGCCAACTCCACCATGGACGTCCCCACCAACGCCCAATTGCCGTCAATTCAAAGGGTTCCCCACACTATGCGGGAGGTAACATTCAGGCATAAGACCGTAAGACGAGTGCTCTTGTCGCTCGACATCAACAAAGCTTCTGGTCCGGACTTGATTCCTGCCATTGTACTGAAGAGATGTGCAGCTGAGCTTGCTCCAGTTCTTTCGCGTCTCTTCCAGATATCTTATGAATCCGGCACCTTCCCAGAAAACTGGAAATTTGCTCATGTACAGCCCATCCCAAAAAAAGGATCTAAAACCGACCCTTACAACTACAGGCCTATAGCTCTGCTTTCTGTTATAAGTAAAGTGATGGAGAGGTGCATAAATCGCGAGCTTCTGGACTACCTCGAACGTCACAGCTTGATTAGCGACAGGCAGTACGGTTTCCGGCACCAACGATCCACAGGGGACCTCCTAGCTTACGTCACGCAACTGTGGAGTAAACTCATCCAGTCTCATGGTGAGGCTCATGTCGTTGCTCTTGACATCACGAAAGCGTTCGATCAGCTGTGGCACGCTGCTCTCTTGAGCAAACTTCCATCCTACGGCCTCCCAGAAAAGCTTTGCAGATGGGTGGCTGACTTTATCTCTGGCCGCAAGATATCCGTCGTAATTGACGGATTCTCCTCTTCATCCCACAACGTCAACGCGGGTGTTCCCCAGGGATCGGTCTTGGCTCCAACACTGTTTCTCTTACATATCAACGACCTCCTTTCCTGCACGATCAACCCAATCCACAGCTTCGCTGATGACAGCACTCTACATGCAGGAATTCCGAGTGACAAGCCGATCTCTGCCGCTGAGCTGGAAAAAAGAAGACTAGCGACGACTTCTTCTCTGACAAGAGACCTGGAGGCTATCACTGCTTGGGGACGCAACAATCTTGTACAGTTCAATGCTTCCAAAACACAGTACTGTACTT